TGCTGAATCCCGCATCAGAGAAAACATTGGACGAGTAGTACGCGATCACGTTCACACCACAGAACTGCTGCATGAACATGACAATGAACGACGCGAGCATCGCTCGGCGGTTTCGGGGGACGGTAAAGAGCTCCTTGAAGCGGTTACGGCCGCTGAATGTCTCGGCCTCGGCCTCGAGGAGGACGTGGATGTCTGTAAGTTTATCAGGATGGGCGCTATCAGCATAGGGAAACCCAGACATACAGTAGAGATCACGGGCGGCTTGGAGATGGCTGTTGCGCAAGCGGAGGAGGGAGTCGTATGCTTCGTGGTAGCGACCCTTGGACATGAGCCAACGAGGAGACTCGGGGCAGAGGAACACCTGGAACATGATAATTAGCCCAGGGACACCCGCCTAGAGAACATGCGTCAGCAACTTATGAATTTGGCACTATGACGGACGCACACTGCCAAGCATCAGACGCCAGTTGAGTCCATGGACATGCTTGTGATCGGGCACCTTGTAAAAGGCGACATCCATGACATATCCCAACATCATACCGAACGCGGTCCACATCTGCCTGCCAAATGCGGTTAGACGCAGATCAACGGGGGATGCTACGGGATGGTATTTACCACATCATCACGAGAGCGCCGCGGATGACTGGCGGAGCACACTCGGCGGCGTAGACGGGGACAGTCGCGCTCTTGGGGCCGACACCAAATCCGAGGAAGAAGCGTGCGATGAAGAGATGCCACCATGTGTTTGTGAGGCCCGACCAGATACAAGTGACGAAGGAGACGAAGGCGCTGATGAAGATGGTTCCGCGGCGGCCGAACCACCTGTTCATCGGGGCGGAGACCCAGCAGCCGATCAGTGCGCAACACAACTACGGGGCGGGTCAGTGGGCGCTTACAAGAGGATGGAGCGCGGGACGTACATAAGGAGAACCGTTGACGAGACCGAGCAGCCATTGGTTGCGGCCAGTGTTGCCTTCGGTGGGGGAGATCCCAAACTGTGGCGCATAGAAGAGGTTCGCACCGTTAATGACTGCCTCGTCCATCTGATAGAGTGCGGATGAGCCAGGTAAAATCCGGGGAAGATGATGCGGATACGTACACCCTGAATAGCAGCCGCCATGGAACAGAGGATGACGAGATAGTAGAGCTGGCCAGGCTGACTCCACCTGTGAGTGACCTCGCGGCGGAGGACGATGCGGTCTTCCTCTGTGAGGATCGGGAGCGTCTCAAAGGCAGTAGGGTCCTGTGCAACGAGGGCGCCCCTCTGGAAGACATCAGAGAGGTGACCGAGGCCATGGGATTTTGCAAAAGCGGTAGCATCGGCAATGAGCTGATCGTGAGAGATACCCTCCAACGGATTTGCGAGTTTTGCGTTTGGATTGCTGCCGACGTTAATGCGGTCGAGATGCTTGACCTCTTCCTTGGAGTCGGCATCGGAGACGGAGTCGATCTTGTTTACTGCAGGCTTCTCGGAGGAAGACATGGTGTGCGGCTGTGTGAAGGGGCACGAGGACGAGGTGGGGACGAAAAATAGAGTGAAACTGAATCGAGAAAGTGTCCGAGAGAATGGAAGACAGTAATGCGAACAGGAATTCCACAGGAAGCATTGCGGGGGAGAGGCTTATAAGCGGGGGAAGAGAGCGCTGTGGTACAGACGCGTACTCCACTCGCGCAGCGGTCTCTGTCCGGATCAGGCGCAGGCAGCAATTTGGGGTGCTGTCCAATAACTGCCAGTCGGTACCGCTGTGTGGAGTGCCCCACGCGCCCATACTAGTTCTCCCTCTCCCGCACCCGCCCCCTGCACCCGACGTCCTCACGCGTATTCGTCGTCGCTGCTGTTTCTTATCCACGTATGGCTGTCTTCGCACAATCCTCCACTAGAGCGCACCATAGCTTCAGGAAGCCCCCATGCCGGGAGGAAGGAGGGCACCCCACTTTTTATAATATCACATTCGCCATCACGGCGGCTTCTTTATCGATACTATTTGACATGCAGTGGTCGTGGGCCGTGACTGGATCATTGTCGTAAAAGGATCCGGATACGAATGTAAAGAATGCGACGATACTGTAAACCAGAAAACCATGCAATAAGTTGCACATTTGACTACTTCTGCGTCAGCCACAGCATCAAGTAGTACCCCAATCCAGTCGACGTGGACCCGGCTGAGTTACTTGAGTCTCTCTCTCTCCAGCATCGCGTCAATAAGCCTCCATTCAAGGTAGCTCACCAAATGACCATACAGATACAAGTATGGCCTGACTTGAATACCACTCTAGTAAAAGTCCTTGCGCGAAAGACAGACAAGAACAGTGGCCAATACGTCAAGACAGTTTTCTTCCCTTTGTGGTTACATCGAAGCACCATCTTCAGTCGAGTCAGACGCGGCAAACATTCTCTCGAACCTATATATGTTCAACAAACCTCTTCGCTGGAAGAGATTGATCATCGTTTAATACATATAGTTTGCAATCAGAACTTACTAACCTCCGTTGTTGTAGAGGAAAGGCAGCACCGAAGTCTCCACCTTTGGGCTAACCCGTGCAAGAAGCTCTGCAAGAGTGACTGGGGAAACGGAACCGGTTTCAAGGTCGCATGTGTCCATCAATGGCGTGAGGTGCAGCCACGCTATAAACGAGTCTGCCAAGGTGTGGAGCTCTTGTCTCTCGTGTCCGCAGGATGCAAATTTCTTCAAATTCGTGTTGACAAGCAAAAACGCTTGCCGAGTCGACGACTCAAGTGATCATAATTATACCAACCCACGGAGTCTAGCTCCAGCCGATGCAATGCACAAATGATGTCCTTGAATCCAAGTAATCAGGTCCATTCACAGGTTTGGAGGGTGTGTGTTATCACAGAGGAGGAGAAATGAAGAAAGTTGAGAGGAAAAGTTGAAATGGAAGATGCCTCCATGATACTGAGCGAATATGAAGTTGCTTGACAGTCAATATAGCTGCGGGTGAGTACCATCGGGGCACGATACACCGTAGATCTAGCGGATTGGAATGGCTTCCGGGGGACAATTGTCGCATGCAGCCGGATTATGACATCGTGTGAGGCTCCCGTAGAAGGCGTACAAGATGATCAAGAGTCTTTGGCTTGCATAGAACGATGGTACGGAAGGGATGCATGCGACACCAGTGCACGAATGCTTTGAAAACGAGTGAGCGGGCGCATAGTGTTCTGCGATCCATCTAGGCTGGGTTTCCCACTTCGTCGACGATCCGCTGGGCCGAGGTCTCAAGTGGGACGACGGGCTTCGAGTTGCGTTGAATGACCTCGTCCAACATAAGCATTCTCAATCCGAATCATACTGCCGCGCAACATAATGGGGCTTTCTAATGAGAGCCATGAGCTTGCTCTAGAGTCCAGCACTATACGCGCTGTCACCAGCAGATGGTCAACTAGATACGTTGCAAATCCGAGGGCACCGTGGCATTATCGTCTGGTACCGCTCGGAGCCAGACGGCAAGAGTAGTGAGTCGACGCAGAAAGTCGAAGAAAATGAATCACAAAGCCGGGACCAGCTGGATTCCTTGAAAAATCGCCGCAACTGCCGAGCCACGGCCACAGACCGCCGATGGGCGATGTCGGAAATTTGTGTCAGGAGATTGTAAACTAATTTAGATTCAATCGCAGCCTTATTTACGCATTTGTAAACAGTTACTGGTTACCTAAGCTCATTTATATTTTCAAACAAATCGATTTTTTCGCAATTCTCATTGGATTGCAATCACAATTCTAATTAGATTAGCTCTCGCTGGCTTTTATCATAATCCACTAAATTATTCAGTAATTTAGTGTGATTTCAATGCAATACAATTTTATAACTATTTTTCCGACATTCGTCGATGGGCGCGTTCTTCCCACCACCTCGTCCTGATGCTTGAGTGCTGAGTGACCGCGTCGACATTGTTACTGATCATTCCCCTCAGAGCCGCTAGCTTCAGCTCACACACGGATGAACTGCAGATTGTTGGATCTTCTAGTGGATGCATATTGCTCATGATGCTCTTGTGGCCATCTATTGCACACGCCGGCATTCACTAGAGGACGGATTCGACTCACTGCGGCTATGCTCGACGTCCGGCCGCGACTGGGGTGAGCCAACATCGGTAGTCATCAACTCCTTCGAACTGGACACGCCCTGGGCTTCGAGTAGGACAGGCATTCTCTCTCGGTGACAGTTGGACACGAAGGCTAGCTGAGGGCCAATAGGAGCATGCGTGGGGAGAGAATGACGGCGGTGAGCATGAACATTGAAGAGGACGAGTGAGTGCACCACTCGCGGGCTCTGGTGCACACAGTCCAAAATCTCATGGATGAGGGTTATTCTGACCAGATTGCCCACCTCTTGAAGGCATGGACGTTGTCTACTGTTGCGCGGCTAGTATGGCCCACGCACAATCACCTTAGGTCGTGCACAATATTAGCTGTGTCAATAAGCTAGGTGGTCGCGTTCGCGCATGCGCCAGAGCATGCGGATACGCTTGCGACCCAGGTGGTCTTATCGGTCAAGTTAAGCCCGAGTGAATTCACATGTTCCTCGTTCACTCTGTGGCCTTCTCGTGCGTAAATACTCGCTCAATCATGATAACTTCTCGGAGGCGAAATCCACAGCATATTTTTTTTTCTCCTTTCATTGTCTCCGAGGGCCTACTCATAAGTACAGGATTGATGAGGGGACAATATTTTCACTTGGTATGCACGTACAATGAGGTGTGGCGACCATAGCTATTGGCGTCGCAGTTCACATCGTAGAGGGATGACTGAACCTCGCGACCAGACGAGTGCATATACACAAAGGAATGGGACCGTGACAGCACAGTAACCGGGTGCTCGCGCTCGGAAGATCAAAGAACTAGAAACAAAACACTTCTCAGACACAGCATCAAGTATAACCGCCTGTGGGCCAGCTTACGAAACGGCGCGCGATAGTGTTAGAAAGTGCTGAGCGATTGACGAATATCAAATATGATATCGTGATCCTGGCCCCATGTTCATGCCTAAGAGACTTCAAGATTTATTATTCAACGTATCGATGTTAGACGACAAATCACGTACGTATGTTATTGAGGTTTCAACTTGAGGTGGGTGCACCGGCTAAGGCAGGCTGCAGTAAGGTGTTGCTTGAAGGAGTGCATCTCGTGGAACTTCTGGTTGCAAAAGGAGCACAAACAGCGAGTGTACATATGATCCAGATCAGGAGTTGAACGCGCCCAAATCGTAGTGCAGATGCGCCGTAATGATGTGCAGTTAGATATTTGACCGAAGTCAACAGGCCCTTGTGGGAGGATGAGTGCATATATATGAAGAAACGAGACGGTAACCAAGTGCTCGCGCTCGGATGATTGAATAAATAAAATCAACTCATTTTCAGTATATTCGAAGACCAGAGTACGGAACGTGGTATCATATTAGAAAATAATAAGAAATCGACGAATGCCCGGATATAATATCATGGTGTTGTGGTATGCATGCTTGACAGAGAAACTTACGGATACAAAAGATAAATTTAGATGACAGATCACATATATATGTCGTTCAACCTCTGACTTGAGGTAGGGGCCCAGGATAGCATACCTCAGAGTGTCGTTGGAGGGCGTCCTCGGCGGAGCCTCCAGAAATTTGGATAGTGCAACGATGCTGTAAACCAGCGAATTGCATGCCAAGTCGTCCACTATAGGAGTGAACCACGGCACTACAACTTCCAAGCCAGTCGATATGGACTTGGCTGAGAGTCTTGAAACGTCCCTTCTCCAGCACCCTGTCAAGAAGACGTCAATCACAAAAGACCACCCAGTGACCACGAAAATCGTATGGACAAACTCGGATATCGATCCGGGAGATTTCTTTGCAAAACAGATGGTCAAGAAAAGCGATTGATGCGGGGAGACAGGTTTGCTTTTCCTCCCCGTATTGAAGGGAAATTTCCAGCCGAGTCAGATGCGGTAAAGAATTCTCCCGGGCCCATATACATTCAACAAATCTCTTGGCTGTAGGAGCTGCGTCATCGTTCTGATATATCATGTCAAATCGGAACTTACTGACCATCATCGTCGTAGAAGAATGGCGGCACCAACGTCTCTATATTTGGGCTTTGGGCTAACCCGCACAAGAAGATTTGCAAGAGCGACTGGAGAGACACAACTGGTTTCGAGGTCAAGAAAACGTAGCATGTCTATAAACGGGTCTGCCAAGATGTCTATCAGGTGTCAAATTCTTCATAGTTAATTTCGACAAGCAAAGGCGCCGGCTGAGCCAAAGACTATTATGATCAGGATTTTGCCGGCTCACAGAGTCTAGTATCAGCTCTGAGAGCCGAGGCAGTGCACAGACTCAGCGCTTGAATTCAAGGAATGAGGTTAAATCACAGGATCGGAAGGAGAGTGTCGTCACAGAGAAGAAGAAACACAGGAAATTGGGGGGGGGGGGGGGGGGGGGGGGGGGG